CCGAAAAGCCGGTTAATTTATACAAAACGATTCATTAATAATACGTGCTTTATCGGCGCGATAAATCTTAACGGGGGCACAGTTGCTCTGTTGTTTATGTATGAAATCGTAATATTATAGGCGTCGCGAGATACCAATCGAAATTCATTAGGATGGATATATTTGTGACTGGAATGGAGTGGGACTAGGGTTTAACAATGATCGATGGATCGACGTAAATAACGTTGTTCTGTGCTGATTTATTTTATTATGCGCATTTCGTAGAAAAAGATTGTTAAAGGTGAATGTTTAGAGCGAGGCGCTGTACGGGTGCGAAACATAGACGACGGGCGCGACGGAATAAAGGTCTAGTCAGAGACATAGAGACAGAAATCGCAGTTAAGAGGTGTAGAGGAAGACCTAGATTAGCTTCATCATCATCATAAGTCGTCAGTCCTAAGACTGGTTGGACACGCACCTCCACTCTTTCCTATCTTGAGCCAATCTTCGCATTTCTCTAATACTAGAACAACCCATATCCTTAACTATTTACCAACAGTAATCTAATCTAGGTCTACCTTTACCTCTCCTAACTTCTGTTTTTGCATCAAATATGTCTCTGACGAGACCTCATGCCTAAGAAGGTGTCCTACCAACCTATCTCGCCTATTTCTTATTGATTTCCATAGAGTCCTCTGTTTTCTTACTCTTTCTAATACCTCTTCATTTCTAACCTTCTCTATCCACGGTATCCTTATCAATCGCATGTAACACCACATTTCGAACACTTCTAGCCCATTCTTTTCCGCCACTCCCACTGTCCATGTCTCGCACCCGTACAGCGCCTTGCTTCTAACATACACCTTTAATCACCTTTTTCGAATTTCTAAATTAACCATTCGCGAGCATAAAAGTGACTTCTTTTTATTGAAGGCGACTCGACCCTGCGCTATCCTCTGCTTTTTATCTCTAATACTCCTTTCGTTCTGACTTATCTGACTTCCTATAGATACCTAAAATCAACCACTTCTTCTAATTTCTCGTCTCCTATCTTTATATTTGCTCTTTCCCTACTTTTCCTTCCCTTGCATACCAGTGTTTTTGTTTTACTTTTATTTATTTTCATACAGTACTGTTTTGTCAATACCGCTTCCATTTTATTTAATGCTACCTCTAACTTCTCCTTGCTAGATGCTAATACTACTATATCATCTGCAAATCTAAGCATACTAATCTTTTGCCCTGCATATCTATCCCTACAGTTTACTGTCTTTAATAATGTTGATTGCAGTTATAGGCCTTATGATGATTAGATTAGTGTTCGCAAATACATAAGGATGTATGTGGGATGTTCTAGTTTTAGGAAAATGCGAAGATTAGATCAGGATAGGAAAGAGTGGAGGTGCGTGTTCAACCAGTCTTAGGATTGACGATTTTGTAATGATGATGATGATTCGCTAGAAAAAGTTACAAACGTGTGAAGTGTGCAATGGGTTAAAAGACCATTTCCATAAAGATTTAGCGGGGTTATTTATTTAGAAAATGGAAAATTCATTTTAAATGATGTAGTACCTTTTTCCAAAATATGTTGATAACAATTAGCAAATCCAAAGCTGACTGCAGATACGTTTTCAAAGACGCGCTTTTCCTTTGTCCTGCAAGGAGTTGCAGGCAGCAGGGGGTGGGTTTTCCCCCAAGCAAGAAGCGTTTTGAATATATGGGACTCTTGTATCGTCTCCGCTTAGAGAGTCCCCACCCTACACTACACCAGGAATAATAATACACATCATCTATCAGTAGAGCCTGCTGGTCCTGCGTCGGCAACAACAGTTTCGACATTGGCGCTCGTTTCCGGTTGCTAGTGCACAATGTAACTTCCGGTTTGGTGACAATTGACTGACGCTCCACGCACTGCGCACGGCTAAACTGATCGCTTTCGCCATTGTGTCCCTGCCCGCCCTCTAGATCGTATTAATGCACCGCACTGGGGGGCTCGAACACATATAATACGATATTTGTGTGTGGAACGGCATAATCAGATACATATTGTGTGAATAATATAATATAAACCAAAAAGGGAAAATAAAGAAAGAAAAATTAGAAGAAGTTGCCGATTTTCGGTGTCTAGGACGTCAGATAATTCAGGATGGAAGGAGCAGTAGAACAAAGAAAAGCACAGGGTCGAGTCGCTTTAAGAAATAGAAGTCACTTTTACGTATGCCCAGGATTTAGAATTCGAAAAGGATCGTGCGACTGGAATAGGGCTCTGTACGAGTGCGAAACGCGGACGTTATGTTACAGGCGAATGATAAGGATATCATGGATAGAGAAGGTTAGATATGAGAAGGTATTAGAAAGAATTACAAAGGACTTGACTTTGGTCTTAGGAGATTCAAGATGGCTCTTAACAAACAGAAGTCACTGTTACGTATACTTAGGATTCAGAATTCGAAAAAGATTGTGCGAGTCGAATACGGCTCTGTACGAGTACGAAACGCGGACGTTATGTTACAGACGAATGATAAGGATATCGCGGATAGGGAAGATTAGATATGAGAAGGTATTAGAAAGAATTACAAAGGATCTTATTGAACATTGTTTGACTTTGGACTTAGGAGATTCTACCACAGGTCATTGTTTAAGGAATTAAATTTCACAAACTATAACACCACACCACAAACAGTTTCTTTTCTTTTTCCCATTGTCCCTAGTTCACGTTTCAACCCCCCAAACATGCACCTATTGAAGTAAACGTATTCGAAAGGAGAACTCAAATATAGAAAATTTAATTCACTGCAAAATACTCGCATGGTCAGTATCAAATATCTCAAGAAAAGCTCTTGTGGTGTGCAAAACGTCGGGGCGAAATTACAGGGGTCTTTTTCCTTCGGATTCGGATCATTTTCTCCTGCGAATGGCCCCCGCTTGGGTCTGCATATCTTTGCATCTTTTGCGTATGCATGATGTTTTTGGGAGGGGGGGTAGAAAGGAGCTCTAAGGGAGGCCGAAAATTTATTGTCGCTACCGCTACTACACTATTATTACTGCGAATACTGTATAATTCAGAGGGTGGTTTGAAACCAGTTGATAGTATCTCTGAAAACTGAATTAATATCAAGCAAGATTCGTGTGTGTACTAATAATGCCATTATCTGTTCAAGTGTGTTACCACCGATGTAATATAATCGGCAATACAACCACATATAAATAGTCGGGGGTTGTCGTTTAAGCTTAAGGTCGAATATTTTAAATATCTAAAGAACATTGCGCTTTGTCTTATTTAAACGACAAATTACTCTGTTACCGCTGCGCCCCTCAATATTTAATTATGTACATTACTAACGCCCCTTGGACGAACGGCTATTCATTTAGCAAAGAAATGAAAAGAGACAAAAAAATTGTGTGAACAAAAACATCGTTAAAAACAAAAGACTCTCTCGGATGTTTTATGATTTAAAAAGTAGCTGAAAGGGCGGCATGTAAAAAAAAACATTGACGGCCCTTGGTGATAATGTTTGTCTTCGTAATGAGATGGGGCGAAAAATTCACTAATGGCCATTTAGTCGTGTCTCTTAATGAGCTGAAACAAAAGAGAATGCCAAAAAAAGAATATAATTAGAATACAAATTAGACGTTTTTGCCGTATAATGTAGATATCGTCTCATTTTCTAACTAATATACACGGTGTCCTAAGAAATGGTGTCAGGGATATCATCAGAAAAAGCGTTTAAATTATATAGAGTTACGGTAGGAAAAGACAACACGAACGAAGTCTGACAATGTGATCTAAAATTGTAAGGATTTTTCGAAGTGGGCTTAATAACAGTACCATTCCTAGAAACGGTATCATCATCATCATAAGGTCGTCAGTCCTAAGACTGGTTTCCTATCCTGAGCTAAACTTCGCATTTCCCTAAAACTAGAACAACCCACATCCTTAACTATTTGCGAACAGTAACCTAATCTAGGTCTACCTCTACCCCTCCTAACTCCTGTTTCTGCCTCTAATATGTCTCTGACTAGACCTTCATGCCTAAGAAGATGTCCTACCAACCTATTTTGCCTATTTTTTATTGACTCTGTCCTCTGTTCTCCTATTCTTTCCAATACCTCTTCATTTCTAACCTTTTCTACCCACGATATCCTCATCATCCGTCTATAACACCACATTTCGAACGCTTCTAACATTTTCTTTTCCGCCGCTCCCACTGTCCATGTTTCGCACCCGTACAACGCCGTGCTCCAAACATACACCTTTAACAACCTTTTTCGAATTTCTAAATTAACCGTTCGCGAGCATAGAAGTGACTTCTTTTTATTAAAGGCGACACGACCCTGCGCTATCCTCTGCTTTATATCCCTACTACTCCTTCCATCCTCACTTATCTGACTTCCTAGGTATCTAAAATCAGCCACTTCTTCTAATTTTTCGTCTCCTATCTTTATATTCGCTCTTTCCCTACTTTTTCTTCCCTTGCATATCAGTATTTTAGTTTTACTTTTATTTATTTTCATACAGTACTGATCTGTCAGTACCGCTTCCATTTTATTTAAAGCTATCTCTAACTCCTCCTTGCTAGATGCTAATACTGCTATATCATCTGCAAATCTAAGCATACTAATCTTTTGCCCTTGCACATCTATCCTTACAGTTGTACTATCTTTAATAATGTTGTTGGCGTCAGTGTGCAGAAACGATATCATTGAAATAAAAATCAAAAAGTTTAACGGGAGAGCAAAAGTATTCCTTAACCAGCATTTTATAGTAAATTTCTATTTTTTTTTATTTCTTCTACCTAAGGACAAAAAATATACGCGAAATCTTCTTCTAATACAAATGTCCTTCAGGATTCTTCCAGTTTACAGAAACCTATTCAAAAATCGGACAATTCTGCCCTCATTTCGCAACCAGGGTGCACCCTCACATAACCGCGGGTCATAATATTGATTACATTCCCCCGATTCCTGCTTGATAACGACTCGACGCTAGATGTCGACGCCCGGCGTCGCTCCATTTTTCTTTTACTTTTTACTAGTAATGACATTATTTAGTCGCGTTTCGTGCCATATTTTTACCGTTTGGGGTTATGGGACACCTTAAATAGGACAAGGGAACAGGCTCAAACTTTCCTTAGGTGCTACGTTCGTTTTTAGTGTGACGTTTTTTACCGATTTTTCGATTATTACTATTATTATTACAATATACATATTGGCTGGTGGTGATATGGTGATTCATGGTAGTGGCATTGGGCAATAACACCGAAAAATATTACATTATCGTACACATAGGCAATTAGGAAATAGAAAATGATCGCATGACATAACAATTCTGCCGAAAACATGGTAGTAATGGCGGGCATGGACGAACACGAAAGAAAAATTGTTATGGAGTTTTGTCATCTGCTCGAAAAATCTAAACAACTCTTCAACGGTCTCAGGTATACCAATTTACAAGAGAATAGTACGTGTTCTTTTGCTTCACTTCCTTATCAGATGGACGATGGTTTGACATCTGATGAAACTGTTTTCATTTTAAAAAAATGTTTCGAGTGGTTTTACGGAATATTTTTAAATTGAAAGTGAAGCCAAAGTTTTAGTATTTATGTATTAGTTAAAACAGGAAAAGGATCCACGAGGGTTTTTTCGGCCTAATAATAACGCATGGAACCCGAAGGGTTCTTCACTATTATTTTGAAATTAAAAATAATCCAACGAGATATCCGGCTGTCTATGTGTTCCACTTCTTCAATAACAGTTGAAAAAATCCTTAAGGATCTAATAAAATAATTGTCCGCCCTGTATATAGTTATAATATTAAGTTCTTCGTTGAATCTTCCCTTTTCATATTATGGATACAAGTAAATTTTAGTTAGATAAATTGTTCCAACGTTTCGCGCATTTTTAGAGATCTACCACAATACGGTCACAAACAATGGCAAGCGTATTTCGGGAGGACGTTCGATGTTTACACGAAACTTTGGAAGTTTCAGCAGCAACACCGTCAAATTTTGGACACGAAATACGGTCTGAAGCGATGGCAAATTGGCGAAATCGCGTCAAAAATCGGTCAACTTTATTATCATTATTAGTAAGTCTTCGTTTTTCTCCATTATGATTCACAATTCATCTAAATTGATGACGATCCTAATATTCCTGTATCATCTTCATCTTCTTTTCACTCTCTGAAGTTTGTTTCTGTTCTTCCAGTTTAAGAACTAGCGAAACAAATTACTTAAACGAAGCTTATTCGTTTTATTCGGCTATTCGAGGTCGGGCTTATTATTCAAGGGCAAACAAAGAAGACAGGTACGTCCAACCACCTTCGTTTTTACTTTACTGTCTTTGCTTTGATGATTTTTAGTTTATGATCTAAGAATTTATCTTAATCTGCGTATATGTTTGTCTGTTATATATAAAATGTCTTGTTTTATAACTAGATACCGTACTCATGCAGGGTGATTCTCAAACTGTAGTAAAAACTGATTTTCCTGTGCTTTTGTTTATTGAGACACTCGTCAAGAACCTTGTTAGGTCTTTAGGTAGTGCTCGGAGGGTGGACCACTCCTTTTATCAAAAGGTCATCTCAGAGAACACCCAGGATACAAATTCAACATGGCGTCATAATGTTGGTATCTACCTGACGCTACAGCCGCCATCTTAAAATTATTGTTTTGCTTGAGATCTTACACGTGATGCATCTAACAACAAGAATATTCAGTCGTTTCTGGTAAAGAATCAAATGGTAAACCTTTTTCTTCAAAAACACGAATGTTAAGATGGCGGTCACAGTATAACTTCCGTTTTGACGCCATTTAGGATGTCACGCTGACGCTACAGCCGCCATCTTAAAATTATTGTTTTGCTTGAGATCTTACACGTGATGTATCTAACAACGAGAATATTCAGTCGTTTCTGGCGAAGAATCAAATGTTAAACTTTTTTCTTCCAAAACACGAATGTTAAGATGGCGGTCACAGTGTAACTTCCGTTATGACGCCATTTAGGATGTCACGCTGACGCTACAGCCGCCATCTTAAAATTATTGTTTTGTTTGAGATCTTACGAATGATGTATCTAACAACAAGAATATTCAGTCGTTTCTGGCGAAGAATCAAATGTTGAACCTTTTTTTCCAAAAACACGAATATTAAGATGGCGGTCACAGTATAGCTTCCGTTATGACGCCATTTAGGATTTGTGCTCCCGAAAAGCATTACATACTGTTGATTGAAATCGCCCTGCATGTAGGATATAGATGTGTTAGAATTGGGTAAAATCTAGCTCTTCGACGAGTAGGTCAATGTCATGTCATGTCCCCTTGTGTAAAACATAAAATGGAGACACAAAACTTTCTCGTTTCACCAGTGTGGGCTTGCACGAGGGTCGTAAACCTCTACGTTCCAGGTCCGAACTGATGGTGAAAAAGTTGCGTTATTACGCAAGATTCATAGTAGTGTGCCTTCTGCTACGTCGCATGAAACTCGTACGAGAATTGGTTGCCGAATTGGACAAGCATGTTGCCGAATACACAAGCACCTACGAACCGGACGACCAGATCGAATGGAGCCTCGTCCTCGACGAGATCAAGAGCTTCATAGCCGCCGATAACATCGTCACCGTCTTTCATCCCGATTCCAATCCTATCGTACTTTCACACAGGTAAAATTTCGTCTTTCGTGCAGTCTCATTTTCCCATCTTTACTCCTCAACCATCCCCGATAAACTCCAGGTATATTATCAATCTCTAAATACCATCAGAAAAATGACTCACCATTTTTAAATTCATTCATCTCCAAATATGACTTTCTTCCTCGTCCATTTGTGGTAGACCCTCCAAGTCTTTTATCCATTTCCAAATAAGCCTTTGCTGATAATCCAGCCTTGGTAACCTCCCCAAGTCTTTTATCCATTTCCAGATAAGCCTTTGCTTATAATCCACCCTTGGTAACCTCTCCAAGTCTTTTATCCATTTCCAGATAAGCCTTTGCTTATAATCCACCCTTGGTAACCTCCCCAAGTCTTTTATCCATTTCCAGATAAGCCTTTGCTTATAATCCACCCTTGGTAACCTCTCCAAGTCTTTTATCCGTTTCCAGATAAGCCTTTGCTTATAATCCACCCTTGGTAACCTCTCCAAGACTTTTATCCATTTTTAAATAGGTCTTTACTGGTGTCCTAATCCCAAGTCGTCCTTGGACAAGAACAAAAATTCTTTTTCAAGTTGACATTACTTTATTGATATATCACTTCTGGATATTTGATGGACCTAATTTCGTGTTCTCATAGACTAAGTCCGCTCACAACTCCTCCCGTTGAAAAAAGTCCTTATATGACTTTAACCCTCCAGGAGATATTGATAATAGGAGCGGCGACAGACCAAGTGAAGTTTTCAGAGCTCACCATGGACATGTTCCGCATGATCCAGACGTTGGAACGTGAACCGGTGGACGACTACAACCACGCTTACGACGCGTCCCCAGGGAACACCAGGAACTCGTACGCCAGCGGAAAAGGGTAAACATGCGTCTTAGAAATGTCGTCCATTGTACATACGAAGAATTTCAATGTCCCAATGACATGTTGTTACGATTTTCAGAATTCCCCGTTTCGTAGAGAATGGTAGCAGCGTGGTTAGCGGGGAAAGGTCGAATCGTCGCGAAAATCCACACAAATATTTGCTATATAAACCAAGTTTAAGTCAGGTTCTTGTCTTTCTCGCGAGCGGTTTCAAAGAGTTGCCACTGAACGGCGCCCTGTTGCTGTACATTTCGGCGGACGGTTGTTTCTCGACCACGAAGCACCCGGAAGACATGGGTTACGATTTGGGCGGGGTCCTGACGAGCGGAAGACGGGACAGCGACCATAAGAAACAAAAGGAACCTCACTGCTTGTATCCCGGCGATCTGCATCCGTTCACCAGGAGACCGTTGTTCGTTATAGTCGACTCGGACAACAGCTTCGTGTTCCAACACGTTCCCAGATACTTCGGTCAGCCGATGGTCACTCTCATGTCTCCCCAAGACACTCCGGCCGCCTTTCAAGAACAACAGCATCACGGCTCCTTATTCACCCTCTTCTTGCACTCTCCACTCACCGCCTTCTGTTACTGCTGCGGCATCACCAGCATACCCATACACCATTGGGAACGGTGTCAGAGTTTTGTAGATAGATTCGTCACGGAAGCTTCGAGATTATTCACAAGATCACGAGTAGGTCAGTAATGATGGGACACAAGGAATAACACTATTTTTGCCGCTGGACTTGATGGCCATGGTATTGGAACTCTTGAGCATTTCGGCAGCATCTCTGTACGAAGATCGGGGGTCCTCGAATTGAAGAGAACTTCGACACCATGGCCATCAAACTCCAAAGTTATCATTTCTTAATGCTTAATCTACGATTCCTCCTAGCGCTGTCTCATTTGCAGAACCGTCTCATTTGCAATTCTTCGGGGACGATTTTCTCCGTCTCCTTCTTCTTCGATACATCTTCTGCGACGTAGTTCTTCATCTTCACCGTGCGTTTAGAAGTCGACAGTTTCGACCCCGATGCCAACCTCCGCTGCCCGAAGCGGAACTGCTGGACCATCCGGCGCTCCAGCATCTCGTTTTCGACCTGGCGACCCATTTTGAAGTGCGTTCTCACTTCCTGGAGAACCACGAGGTCGAATGATCCACGGCTCGGGCTCGGTTCTCGGAATTAATGAGGGGTCGATGGAAGACAGTCGTATTGCTCAGTGCCCTTTTGCTGGGGGTCACCAGCTTGGTCCGTTATTTCGCGTGCTTTTTTCACGTGGTCCAGTTTTTTCGGATTTCGCTCATCGTCCGATTGATGACGACGATTATTATTAAGGGGGATGATATTGTAGGGTTTCTTGGACGGCGGTGCTCCAAAAATACTTCATCTGCAAGGTGGGGAGGTGGAAACATGTTGGTCGTCACCGCGCACCTCTTCGTATACGAATTTACCGCCAAATTTCTCAACATGTCGTATTTTTGGACGCCTCGCCCCATCACTTTCACTTTCTATCCCAATTGAATTATGAAAAAAAAGAAAAAAGACAGGGTTGTTGAAGTTGGGTGACCTATATTGAAGGTTTCGAAAGAATCGTCAAATCAAACCTAACAGCATTTGTTTACAATTCACTCTAGATATTATTGTCATTTTAACCCTTTACACTGAAGCACCTACCCTTAAATGACAATAATTTCCAAGTGGATGGAAAACATAATATCATATTAAACCTTACCATGTTCTCATATAACTTTGTCTAGAGTTAAAAGTTAAATTCCCGCAATTTTTTAAAACTTTCGGTAGGTCACCAACCATCAAAAACCATATAGGTATACATTATATACAGTATATATAAAATATATATATATGATAATAATGATAACAAATGATTAAATTATTACGCTCAAATTGGGCACAGCGTTTCTCGAATTTTTCACGCCCCTTCGAATAAACATAACTGATAAGGCTCTCATCGTACGTAACAACGTTAAAGTTTAAAATTAGCTAACGGTAAGGTAGCAAAAGAAGAATAATAAAATTTTAATACCAGTGAAAACTGATTCACGTAGTTCATTTTTTACGGCCGTTTGGGCCAAATCTCGGAACTCGATCGACATTTATTATTATCAGTTATAAATTAATACAGTTATTATTATCATTATTATAATTATGAATAAGTTTACATTATCATCATCGTCACCATTATTATTATTATTATGATTATGATTATGATTAGCTACCACACGATGACAAGTGTTCGTTCAAATCAAACTAGAGATACTGTCATGTGTTTAAAAAGAATTTTATAGTTACTAGTTACTCAGTTAAATAAAAAAAAGAGACAGTTGCACAATAACGTTTTTAATTTCCCGAAATCTCTATCTCTGTTCTCCCTTTCTTTTAGTTTCTTCATTTAGTACGAAATAATAGCTAAAAACAAATTCATTTTTTTTTTTATTATCCTTCTAATAGTATTTTTCGCAAATTTCGAGACGTAGGTCGAAAATTACTGGGTTTAAAATAAAAAAAAAACATTAAGGTATTTAGCAGAAACCTCTCATGGGAAACCCCTCATAACTCTGATTTCCAATTTTAAATTTCAACATCTCATTTATTTTGCTAAGACAAAACAAAATGTTTTTCATTTGGAATACATCTTACTATACTATATCCTTTAATTGTTCCAAATTTTGAGTCAATAACGTTAGTTAATAATTAGATAATGAATAGTGACATACAGACATACAAGCATTGAAAATTCACCATAACAGTACATTTTTAACCTTCCTGGTGCGTTATTCACATCCAGGCTTTTTAAAAACGTGTATTTTTTACATTTGTTTACTGTTTCTCACACTTAAGCCGTCTCCAAAAGCTTGCGTTTGATTTTTAATAAGGCAAAGGCATCAAAATATACCAAAAACATTTATTGTAATTGATAAATAACAAATAACAAACATTGTCTTCACATATTTTTAACAAAACAAACATAATATTAATTGTAAAGAAATTCTTAAATAAAACAAACATAACATTAATTATAAAATACAACAAAACAATATTAACATAATAAAATACTGTATGTGGTGTTTTATGTAACTATTTACAGTAGGAATCATTCATCTTCATCTGAACAATATGGTGACTGATATTCATGTTCATAATTAAAACTCTCTTCGAAATATTGATTGGGATGATTAATTACCTCTTTACTTGGTCTTCCATGCATGTATTCGAAATATGCACTGCAAGCCATCTGGTAGTTACCTTCCTTTGCATGATTAACTATCTCTGTAACCACTAAAATAAACAACATGTCGATTAAATCCTTACAAGAAAACAAAGCAGAGCAATTTAGAAGTTATTATTTAATTATTTCTACCTTGAGGACCAAATCCATATTCGGTTAATTTCTGCTTCAAGTACCCATTGTCCCATACTTTAAAGGGACATCCATGCTGTTGGCCAATCCCAACATTAGCAGAGATTATTTTTGTACAGTTAAATGGGATGTAATTGATCTTGCCGCCCACTTTTCCATAATTGTGCTTTATTGTGTAGCCATACTTCTTTTGAAATTCTCTGTGCTCCATTGCTTTTGTAAACTCATCTCTCCAATACTTCACACAATCCTCATAGGATAGGCCTATGCCTTTACAGAAAAACCCGTACTGTAATCGACAATCATACTTTAGTGTATGTGTAGCACGGAAATTTTCATGAATGTTTCGCATACACAAAGGAAAATGGTTTTTAGCATATACGTCCATAAGTGATGGATCTATCGAGTTGTGGGAGTATTCACCAGGAATGCAATGGCTGATTTTGTTGTTTTTTTCTAAGCCTAGTAGCAATTCACGTATACGATCATCATCTAAAGCATACATTTTCTTACTTGCATACTGAAATGAATATTAAAATGCATAGGTAATAAAATATATAGTTGTAACACTCACTAAAAGGGCCTGACGAAGCATTTTTTTAAAATTATTAGCAATATAATGTATTAAGTCTTTCTTGGGTATAATTGCAAAACCATCTTTTAAAAGCACTTGTTTTTTCTTAACCAGATATGGTACATCACTAAATTGTACTTTATAAAAATCAGTGTCAAAATTGAAATTCTTAGTTGAATAAAGCAAACTGATTCTCAAGTCTCCTTTTTCTTGTTGACTTATTGGAGATAAATTGAGTTTGTTAAAGCTAAGAAATTTGTCAATCTCTTCTTCCTTCAACATCTTACATTTTAAATTAAACAATTCCGTCTCACGTGCTAAAAACCATCTTCTTAATTCTTCTGAGCGACAATAAACCAGCCGCAATATATAATGAGAAATATGGTCTCTCCTACGTACAGCACAACTAGCTTCTGATTGAGCACTACCACAATTCATAATGATCAGATTGTAATCATTTAATCTAAACTCTTTTAAAGCTTCTGATATACAATTCACCCAACCATTACTCAATAACTGGTGGCCTTTTACAGAAGATGCTTGCTGAATTATTCTTAATACATGCATACGTTCCATGGCCAATTTTTCAAACTCATCTATTGGGAGATCTAAATGAGGGGGATCGGCGAAAAATTGTAAATCATGTGGATATATTTCAAGTAAATTGTAAAACACTTTTTTGTTCCTTCTACTGGTAGATCCTTCCAAATCCATTTAAACTAATTAATGTGACTATTCAGCAGAAGACAGTACAAATATTTTAACTGGAACACTTTCGAACAAGTTTAAGGTTAACATTCGTATGATAAAATCAGGCGCGAAAACGACTAATTATTTTTAAAGTTCGTTAGTATACTATGCAACCAGGTATGTAGCTTTGCATTTGAAGTTGCATACATACACTATTAAATAAATAATTTTCTAGGATATTTGGACGCAAATTAATACATTTTTGGTTTTTTTTATACAGAAAGCGATTGATACGAGATATTAGTAATGTTGGTTCGAGTCCCTTCCTAACATGATTTTAAAAAAAGCGGCGATTTGATGGTGAAAATTGATCTATTTGAATAACATAGTCTAGAACAGATTGGCTCCAAAGGTAGTGTTTTCTTACTTCAAAAAATTAATTGCTTTTATTTATTTTTCGAGTATTTAAATGTACAAAGTACAATTCAAACATTGAATAATTATTTAAAGAATTTTAATTTTCTTAAACATCAAATATTTCTTTTAAATTTTGTTTTATAAACTGTAATTTGCTTATATTTTGAATTTAATGTGAGAATCAGAAGATAAGGAAAAAGGAGGATTATATTTTCTAATCTTCAACATAATGTTGTTATGCTTATTTTGCTTATTTAATGTATGGTAATCGTGTGTCTATTACTTTTCCTTTCATTTGTCTTCACCACAGTATGGCCACTTTGAAAATATTACTCTTTTGCAAGCTCTAATAGCATTATTTACTTAGTTTTCCTGTTTTTACAGATTAGATAACAAATGGAAGTTCATATAAATTCTAGTGAAGACAATAAGTGATGTCTGCACTGATATTCCTTTTTCTGAATTTGGTTTGCTTTTTACACATGTAAACCTTGGAGTATTAAGTTCTACAGCTAATTAAGGTGAGAATGCAATGCAATCATTAATATTAATTGTGCTTCTTTAATCTATTGCCAATTTACGAACATCCTGGAACATTATACTTAGGCTGACGAGCATTAGTTTCTTTTTTGTCGAACAGAAACTCAACTTTTCTGCTATTTTATTAATTTAAGGGAATTTCCAAACTTCAGNTTGTGTACCACCCACAATTGGAACACCATAAGAGGAATTTCTGTCTTCGCTGTTACCATTACACAAATCTTGTTGGGGCAAATAGGCGCTTTCCGGTTCATGTTTTTCCTTGCACCAGCAAACACCCATAATTTGTACACATCGAAGGTTTTTGCAGCATGTGCTTCTAGCTTCACCTGAATCCGTTTGACAACAATAACAAAAACAACAGTAACAGCATCAACAATAACAAAAAAACAAAATCAAGTACGAAAAAAGTTATGTTGGCGTAATAAGGGACATTAACATATTAGCAGTGCAATTATTGAAGGTCCAACTCACGTATCTTTCGATAATTTTGAAAATAGTCGTTTGTAGGTGCAGCATGGATCGTGCAATTATAGCACACACTATACGTAACTTTAGAATGACCGTTTTCAAAAGTAATCCTCAGATTTATACTTTGAAATAGAAATATGTTGAACACTTGTTATTAATTTGCTTATAACACTCCGTTGACGGTTTTGATGAATGTCAATATTATTATGATAGATTGATGTGACAGACTACAACTTTTTATTTCTTCTTTTTTAGGAAGTGTCACGTCATCTATAGAAATAGAAACATCTATAGAGTGTAGAGAATTATATGGAACTTCATTCCACTAGAGAAATCAATGGAATCAATTTAATGTATGTAATAAAAGGACGTATGAAACAGTTTTATCAATGTAATAATATGAATCTATGAATTTTATGCATCTATGGATGCATCTTCTTCAATCTTGTCTGCATCTTGTCCATCTTGCCATCTTGTATTAAATACGACGCTTCGTCTCCATTTTAAAATTTTGCAATTTTACTTTTCCGTGAGTATTTTTATTGTATTTAATGTTTTACTTGTTTAATAATGTAGTTTATTCGTTCTTTTTCTTTATTTTTACAGATTGACGATAAATAAGAGTGGAAGAATCTTTAATTTGATGCTATTGAAAAAACAGGTTGTCTATTAACTTTTCATCTTGGAGGATCTTATAGTTAATTACGGTGAGAATACATAATATGTATGTATATTACAGCATTGTTGATATTTAATTTAACGTAAATAATATTGAATTGGTGTTTTGTTTCTCCATCTGTGCTCTATGGTACAGGTTTTCCTTCACAATTTTTTTGAATGTCTATCGTTGATGTAATTGTATGAATCTATGAATTTTATGCATCTATGATGCAACTTCTCCGGTCTTGTCAATTGAATCTTGTCCTTGCCATTTTGCAATAAATCCGACGGTTCGTCGCCATTTTAAAGTTTTGCAGTTTTACTTGGTTGTCGGCTCGTTTTTTAGAGTCGTTCACGTTTTAATTATTAAAAGGTGTAGTTAATTCGTTTTTCTTCTCCATTTTTACAGATTGACGATTTTAACAAGTTGTCTGCCGTGGCGTTCTTGCTGGTAACTTTTCACTCCAGAGGATCTCGCACTTATTAAAATGAGCATACATGCCATAATATATATATAGTATCAAACGAGTATATTTTGCTTTAACGTTATTTATTAGGAAGGATGATTTAATTATATCTGAATATTTATAAGATTTTATTTTACAGGAATATTATAAAGACTGCGGATTCCATTAAATTACAAAGCATCGGTTGTAGAAGATTGCCGTACCGATGATCCTAAAGGAAGCACGAAAGTGCTTTTTTTCATTAGGAACAAAGGCAGCGTGTTATTAGGAACAAAGGCGGTGTGTTGTTAAAGAAAAGGTTTATGAGAGTGACTAGTAAGTAACAGTATCAATTAAAAATAATAAATGCTGTCTCAGACACTTCAATTTAAAGACATTTATAACTTACTTTAAATAGATAACTTTCAGAAATGGCAGAAACAGAGCAGAATTAATGTGCAACTGAAACTTAGCTTAGTGGGAACTTTTTATGCATATGTTTTCAACATAAGAGCTGTTTCCTTTGCTTTTTGACAAATGGTACACTGTATATCTATTACTATATCTGTTTCTTGTTTTTTAACTTTATCACCACATTGCCACATTACTGATTTATTCTCTTTAAAAGTGATAATTAATTGTTTTTTTTTTGCCCGTCTATAGATTATCCAAGAAATGAAAAGGGATTGCAGTTAATTTTAATGTCTTGAGCTTGCAATATTATGCAGTTAATTTTGGACCTGAGAATGGGAAGCAACATGATATTAATTTGGAATCTAGAACAAGAAATTTCTTGACAATTGTCTGCATTGGGATCCCTCCTAGATTTGGTTTGCTCATCACACTTGTAGACTTTTGAACGCTATCGTCTGCAGTTAATTAAGGTGAGAATACATGACATAATTAATAGTAATAGCTCTTTATTAATCTGTTATGGTATTTCTTTTAATAGTTGTTTATTTTTGTATATTGACACCGTACATCTATGGTATTTCATTTAACAGTTGTCTATTATGTACATCATAAATTGTCGTTCTCGTGTATCTATGATTATTGCTCTATGATTATTGCATATATTTCTGTCATGTAAAATGACGCACGTCACCGATTTATAATTCAGCTATTTTATTTGGTTTTTGGTTCGTTTTTTTTTTAGGTGTGTTTAATTCCTTCTTATATTAACTGTGTAATTAATATATTTATTGTCTGATTCTGCAGATTATCCAACAAATGAGAGAATTAATGTTCAGCTTGGTCCTACTGAAACAACCAATATATACATGGGTGTGGTCATTTGTGGACTATATACTTCATTTGCTGTTTCCGACGTCGCCTTTCAACTTTATGCAGTTAATTTTTAACCGAAGAGAGAAGAGCAACTAGAGATTTATTTGAATTCCACTGAAACAACAAATTTTCTGCCATGGATCTGGATTTGGTTTGCTCTTCACATCTGTAAAGTTTGGAATGTTACAGTCTACAGTTAATTAAGGTGAGAATACTTGATATAATTAATTTTAATTGCCGCTTATTAATCTGTTTGCCACCGTATCTGTTTCAGATCGACGTTGGAGAAGACAAAGATGACCCAGTAGTTGAAATAGTTCTTTATCTTGCATGCTCTATCTAGTAGAATTCATTAAGTTCGTTTTATTCAAATTAATTTTTTATTTTGCATGTTTTTTTTT